TTTAACAGCTGATTTTCGTATCATAAAAGAGATGGATGTTGATGGGGATAGTAGTGAAGTCGTACATTTGGATGTCTGGAAACGTGGAGCTCATTTTAAAATTCCAGCTATTACAGCCCTCCTTGTAACCCTCCTGACTTTTTCTATGTTAATCACTTAACATTCCATTTTTTAGGAGACTTTAATGCTCATTCTCCCATGTGGGGATATTCTGACACAAATGAAGCTAGAAGGAGTGTCCAGGACCTCTTGAGCTCGACTACATTCGAACTAATATACGATAAAATGGATCCCTATACTTATAGTGGTAAAAGTGCAATCCTAGATCTGTTGATGGTCACTGCTGACCTTTACAATCTCACAAAGCGTAGCGTCTTGAAGGATCCTGGATCAAGACACAGACAGGTGCTTACAGAAGTTAAAATATCCAAAGCGGATCGGAGACCCCTTTCGCCATCAAAGGTCTCTTGGAATTTTAAGAAAGCGAATTGGCCTCTTTACTGAATTGATGGAACATGGCCTTAATCATGATAAACTTTACTTTAAATCCTAATAGAGTTAGTAGAATTATGAAGGACACAATGATATCTTGTGCTAAAAAGTCGATCCCTAGAGGAAGGCAAAAGAAATATAAATACTTCTGGACAGATGAACTGACCTCTTTGAAAGCTAAGAGAGACAGGCTTAGAAGAAAGGCAAAGTTGGCCTCCCGACCCTGCGATGTTCAGGCTTGGAGAAAACAATCTGCTTACTTTAGAAAGGCTCTTATTGTCAGCAAACGATCATCATTTAATTAATTAATTTCAAAAATAGATTGCCAAACTGATAGTAAAAGAACGTTTAAATTTGTAGGCAACCTAATGAAGGATCGTGCTGGCTCGCCTAAACAAACCTTCATACTAATTCAGAAGTCAAACAACAAAAATCATAGTTAAAGATAAACAACTTTCTTCGGATTCTTCTGTAGCGAATGTTTTTGCACAGCCTTTCTGTAGAGCTAATAACAAAAACACTTACATAAAAATACATTCGTCCAGAATTAAGCAAAAAACTACATTCCTGCAATCGGAATTTGAATCTTCTACTAATTCAGTTTTTGAGGCCCCCGTTACTCGAGACGAACTGACCTATGCTTTCCATGTGGAAAATCATCTGGTGGAGATAGAATCCATTCTGAGTTTCTCCACCATCTTAGTCCTAAAGCATTTGAGACTGTTTGGATCTTTTCCAATCTAATTTGGAACACTGGTATTATACCAGCTGAATAGCGAACTACTATCATTATTCTCATACATAAAAAAGACAAAGGTCGGGATAGGCTCCGTAACTATAGACCAGTATCGCTTACCAGTATTATGGGGAAGACTACGGAGAAAATAATTATGAGAAGACTTAATTATTACTTAGAAACTTGCAGATTTCTTGCCGAGGAGCAGGCGGTGTTTAGAAGTTCCAGATCTACTAACATGTTGCCCTTCTGAGTCAATGTGTCAAGGACGCCCTGGATAATAGACGGGTCCTGAACGCAGTTTTTATTGACCTCAAGTCTGCTTACGACAAAGTATAGCGGGAGTGCCTCCTACTGAAACTGTCGGGGCTAGGCATTAGAGCAAATCATTTTAACTGGCACGAGAGATTTCTGGCATCAAGTGCCTCTTATTCGCTGATGTTTTGGTTTTCTGGAAAGTTTCTAAAAAAGAAAGTGCAGTGAGAAACATAGAGACTGAACTCTCTGCTGCCAAGAATGCTTTGGAAGTTTGATGTGATACTAATAATATGGAGGTGAACTTAAATAAATCATGCTGCCTGACTTTCTCACTTATGCACCAATCTTTGGATCTTCAGTTGACGTATAAGTGTACCCAAATCCCCTTCTGAGATAAATTTAAATATTTGGGTGTGACGTTTGACCGCAAATTAACATGGAAGCCACATGTAGAGGACTTGTCCAACCGTGCTACAGACTCAATGTCCTTAAACGCCTTGCTGGGGCAGAGTGGGGTTGCACTAGTCAAACCTTGCTCCAAACTTATCATTCGTTTATCCTCCCCTTCTGACTTACTGCTGTGAAACCCTTGTAGGGGCCGTGGAAAGTGTACTCTATAGTACATTTTCCACGGCCACAACAAGCGGCCCTAGAAAAAATCCAAAATCAGTGCTTACGTATTGTTTCTGTAGCCGTGAAGACCGCCCCGACTGATGCCATGTGCATGTGAACTGGTGATAAACCCTTAAGAAACGTAATTCAAGAGACGGCCTTAATTCTCTGGGAAAAGATCATAAGAGTTCCTGGATGTCTTTCACTCTGAAATGAAATCAATCAAGATCTGGCTAGAAATCTAAAGACCCAGATGGGCTTTCTACGGAGAGTTTTTCAATTAAAAAATTCACTTGGTTTAATGAATGAACTAGAATTACTTCTTCCACTACAAAATCCAATAAATTTGAAATCTTTCTGGATTAATCTTGACCTGGGTCAAAAAGTAAACGGATCCCTTTATTTTGAGAGCCCTCGCTTTCGAAGTATTAAACATTTTTTACCCTGAGCCAGAGTGGCTTTGGATCTTTACTGATGGATCCCTCCTGTCTGATGGCCCTAATGCAGGTGCCGGACTTTTCTCCAAAATTTTCTTTTTCTACATCCCTGTGGACAGAGGTTTTGCGTTTGACGGTGAAATTACTGTGTATCAGCTCTGTTGTCTATCGTTTCAGATAAAATTCCCACATCACAGTACATATTGGATTGTAGACACTATCTACTTGGCTTCACTTGAGAAAACTATAGTCCTCCAGTGGGCTCCTGCCCACTGTGGGATGTCAGGTAACGAGAAAGCCGACTTCTTGGCAAAAAGGGTGCTTTAATCATGCAGAATATTTCTCGTCCTTTGCCTTTCCATACTGTTAGGGATCTTATTAAAAGATCTTTCAAAGTACGTGCTCAGGAAGATTTCTATCATCGTGTTACTCCTAAGTCTTGGAAGAATGCTATCTCGAATTTGTGTAATGGCCCAAGGCATAGAGCGGTCGTTGAATTCCGCCTTGCCACCGAACATGACTGCCTACAATATCATCTTCATAGATTCAACATTGTTCCTTCTCCGATATGCACTCTGTGCAGCTCTGGAGAGGTGATGGATGCCGCACATTTACCCCACTGTCCTGCTCTGCGCAAGACTTTTCTCGCCTAACGTTACTGGGAAGCAAGAGATATGTTAGATTAATGGACTCTGTTACAGCTGTTTTTTTTTCATTGTGTTGCTGTATTCTATGTTCTTTGTTCTTGCTTTTTGCTGTAACTGTTCATAATCTGTCATTGGAAATAAAAAAAAGGATCTTTGAATTCTGCGGACCTTCCAAACAGAGGTCGTTTAGGGCAGCAGTTATGAAATTCGAAATGGTGGGAGGATTCCAGCTGGTTTCACTTCTTGAATGGCCAGTTAACGACGTAGAATTAAATGTCAGAAGAAGTTATTAAAGAGAAAAGAAGTCATTTGTGTCCTCCACGGTAAATATTCAAGTAACAGAAATTTGGAGATCATTCTCTCACATATAGTAGAATATACACATATAGTAGTGGCAAGGATTCAAAGTTTTCTCCATAACATTTCACATGGAAACAAGTTAGAAGGTAACTTAAGCAAGGTAACGTAAGAATTCAAACAAGTTCTGGTGCAGTTAAAGATTTTTCAAAATGAAAAGTTTCTAATTAAAATGCAAGCATTTATAGATGAAGAAGATCTTTTGAAAATAAGAATCAAATTTGTAAACTTTGTTTTTTATTTTTTAAGTTATGTAATTTTATAGGATTTAAGTTTTGCATTCAGAAATCTGAAAATTCTACTTGTTCTAAAATTAGAATTGCAAAGTTCAGTTTATAAATTTCACTTTGCAAGGTGGGAGTATGTTACAGATTGTAAAAACTGATATTAGTATTTGAACTTAACTAGTATTTTATCTATGATTTTTCAACTTCTGTTTTTGTTTTACTTTTTCTTGTTGTCTCTTGAGTAATTTTGTCATGTTTCCCTGAGGAGTTTTCTTTAGTTTGAATAACGAATTATTCTAATTTTTGTTATCTTTCCTGAACTCCTCAATTTCCCCTCGCATTTCCTCGACAGGATGCAAATTAAGATGAAGAAGAGTATTTAAATAGGCGAAAAGAGAAAGTTATTCAGAACGTGATTTCGCTAGCCTAGCGCACGTTGCTAGTCTGTCCTTTCTGCTGTTACTCTGAGTTGCTGATACGCCATCTGGACGCTTAGTTAAAATCCATCGCCGGTGTAGGTTGCTGAGTCAACCTGTTAATCTTAAGCAGTCTAACACTCTCTTTACCATTTAAATTTATTGTTAAATTATTCTTAAGTTACCACCGCAAGTAGTCGGTGTTATTGTGAGCACGAAGTACGTTAATTTTTTTTGTTTTTTTTTTGTTAAAGAGTTTAATCAAATAAAAAGAGAAATTTAAACCCTTTCCCCTGTGAGCTCTTTCTTCACGCTGTGCGAGAAGTCGCATGGCTTAGTAATAGATCGTATCTTTGAATTGTTAGCAAAAAGAGTGTGACCCCTTTCCATGAAAGGATGAGCATCACCTTTGCTTTGATTGAGCACAAAAAATATTTTGGGGCGTATTTTTAATTTCTGTCTTACAATACCTAATTGACCACAAACTGAGTTCTATAAAACTTAATCTAATATTAATAATTTTAAAACGAATTAAAAATTATTTTCAGTTTTTTTACTTATGGGCATATCAATATTAAATATTTTCTTATGATTACAGTACGAAGCAGATTAAAGTGCGATTGATAAGTAAAATGTACAGATGTTCTCAGTAACGGAAGCTGATGTTTATCACAACCGTTGCAAGGTCGGTGAGAGTTAAAAGAGTCGCTTATTGACTTATGCAGACTTTTTTTTTTTTTTTGGTTAACATATCTTTTTACTGATTAAGCAGTGAAATATATTTTAAATGTTTGCTTTATATTCTGTTTTTTCTTATTCTGTTTTTCTTTCTTTTTTTCTTTCTTCCTTTTTTTCAATCCCCCCTTCCCGATAATGAATTCATGGCATTTACTTTCGAAATGTTTCCAATTCAGTGTCTTTTCCTCTGCACAGCCATTTTTACTCCTTTTTACTCCAGCGTTATGGCAAGGTAAGTTAAAAGTACTTTCTAAATATATTTTATTTTGCTTGCACACTAACAGAAAAAGAGTTAGTTATGTACATGAATGCTGTATTTACACCTCCCTTTGTTATTACAGTACAAGTCTAAAGAAATAATTATTTGACTTATTGTTAAGTATAACAAAAGGCTTCAAATCTTTATTGTAAATTTTTCTGTGGTCAGGTAAACGTAAATTACAAAATACAGTATTATTTATTTTATGTAGGTAAAACATTTGAAGTAAGACTTTTCAATTAACACACGAAAGCTGACATAAATGTGTATATCATCACTTTGCAAACAGGACCATAAAAATTATACACAAAACAAAAGGTTTAAAATGTTTTTGTAAATTATTCAGTTGTTAGGTTATAGATTCTCATTCTTTTGCGAAGCATACACTAAAGACGAGTTTACACTTCTCCAAGTGACTTTCGACGAAGCCCTCGTAACGGCGTGTCCCACCGAGTGAACGGACCTGTAATCCGATGGATTATTTACACCAATAATAACGGGGATGACAATTCGCCTCCGTTTGTTTGCAAAATGGATTGCACACTGCTCGGAGTTACTGCCGAGATAGATTTTTAACTTGTTCAAAGTAGAAACGGAATCACTGAGTCATCTTCCCTACGTTTCTATTCGGACGAAGTGAGCGTTTACATTGTCAAAGAAGTCGTAGCGAGAGGCTCGCTCGGAGAGGTGTAAGCTGGTCTTGAGTCTAGACTCTGAAAGACCTAAGTGAATTATCGCTATATCTAGGTACATTACAGAGGCGTAAAGAGAGTAGCGAAGACCCTTATAGTAAGAACTAAAATAATTGAACAGAAGGCAATTCTTGTGCTTACAAAACCAGCCAGCCTTTATGACGTAACTCAAAAATACGGAATTTCAAATTAAATTACGTCTTATTTTAGCCTAAGAATACATAGAATTACCCACAAGTTGATCTAATCTACTCTGGCGCGAGAAGCTCTATTGGCAACGCCTATTTATGAAGGAATAAAAAATTTGCATTAAGACTTTCAATTGACACATTCAGTCATCTCATTTACGGCCAGCCTAAATCTGTATTATTGGTATTGTAGCATCATAAGATAAAGATGAAATAGTTATGCTCCAAATAATCATATGACAAGCAAATATTTTTAAGATAAATTTCTTTACGAACATATGAAAAATTATGAGATCCGAAAGGCCAGAAAGCTGGTTAGCAGATGCTAATTATCTGATTTTTGCAAAAAAAAGATTTTGGTTTCAAATAGGTGATACTGTTGCATATAGCACAATATATATAAAGATTAATTCACAAGTCAAACAACAAAAATCAGCGTTATATTTACAAAATATAACGCTGATTTTTGTTGTTTGACTTGTGAATTAGTATTTATTCGGCGTGTTATTGTGTCTTAATTATATATAAAGATGCTTGGTGGGGTAGTTACAGGCGCCAGCTGCTAAGCCTATTTTCGAACTGGAGATGGCATGAATGTTTACAAATATACGTAGTGTCTTTGCGATATTGTGGCGCTTAAAAGTCAGTCGAACCAAAAGTCTCCTAAAGAGGTTAGTAGTAGGAAAGAGGATCACAAGATCGTTGGATTCTTTTCTTTAAGGTATCTCGATCAAAAGAGGTACGAGACTCGGCAAAGTCATACTGTTACCTCTATAAAGGTGAACATGGCTTTGGTTAACGACAAGCGTTCTCTTCTTAGCCATGATTGTTTTGGTAACCTGATTGCAGTAGATAGCTGGATATCGGAAAAACAAATAGCAAAAAATAACACACATAAAGATTTGTAATATATTTCTGTATTTATATATTATTTTGTTTTGTTTCCGTACACTAATTTTTATTACGCGTGCATTTCTTCCGTTAGACTACATAACAGAAAATATCGGGCTGTTCACAAGGCAGACTATTATAAAATCATTTTAATTTCCACTGTTGCTTGGTAACAATTACATGTTTTTTTTTCTTTTTTTTTTTCAAAATTCTTGTATCTTTATTTGTAAGTAATAAAATGCATTCCCCCATGAACTTTCGTGATTACACTGTTAGTACATAAATCTAGCGCTTGACATGAGAAAGAGTACTGTTAATTACAAATTAATGTCTCACAAACGTGCTCAGGCATGTTTAATTTATGTAAATAATGTCAAAAACTTTAAATATCTACAAATGAATCTACAGGACATAGTTGAAGTATATTGTTGCGTGCGTACGGGTTCGTTTGAATTGAATGCACAAGTCCGATGCAAAATGGACAAAATTTTATTATTATCACAATAAAAATGCTTAAATTCTCTCAGATATTCTTTCAGTATTACAATATCTCACATTAGTTATCTTTCAACTACTCAAAAGTTCAACAAAAGTTAATTCAAAACAGCTAAAAGAAAGCTAATCTGCGAATTCGCTACAATCAACAAGAGCAGTTTTCTAAACAAACTCTTAAAACAACAACAAGCTAACTAAAATCACTGACTAACTGAATTGAAATCGAAATCGAAATCGAGTCAATGGCTAGGCGGCAATTAGTAGCCAAGCACTACTTTAACCGTCTCTGTTGGTAAATTGCGCTAAGGCGTTGGTACTTAAGTTTTTAATTAAGGCGATTTACGCCGCGCCAACTAGGCGAAACTTGTCAAATTTTGTGAAATGTAGGTGGAGTGGAGGGAGATGATTGGCAGGAGCCTGTCACGTGGGTGGTCACCCACCCAAGATCAGACTCCGAGCAAAGCAGCTTACGCGTGCAATGAGAAATATTGGATATATTAATAATTATCAAGTTTTGAAACAGGATATCCAGATTGGAATAATTAAACTAATATCGCGATCTAAAATGAAGACAAATGGCACAACTAAGTGCAACAGATTCGCTAAGCAAAATATTCAAATTCATCCTTGCTGTACAACACAGATTGGACAGTGGTAGTCACGCGGGGGTCACTCTCCCGTGAACTGTCCACAGCCAGTGCATCTTGAAATAGTAGATATCACAATTTAGTGAAGTTTTGGTCTGAGAAATTAAACACTAAAGTTCTTGTACAGCACTGAGGCACATGAGTTACTGAAACTATACACTATGTACATATAGGAACGGCGGTATTTGAGCGAAGTAGCAAATGGTGAAAAACATTTTACACTAGATAGCAATAAATAATCAGAGCTTTGAAGATCCAGGTACACATATCCATAAGTTAACAATATTTCAAAGTCTCTGGTATAATTAATGAGAAAATTAAGTACATGTAAATATAAAAATCCATAAGTCTATAAAGTTTCAAAGACACTGGTAAAATGACACAATGAAGATAAAATAAAGATAATAGTACTATGTACAGTATATACACATTTCACCATTTGCTGTTATGGAAGATGCCTCTTGGGCGCTTTGCTGCAATTTCTATAGTAGGATCATAATTTATCAGATCACGGATATGTTCATATTGAGAAAGTTCTATTTTAGCATAGAAATTGTGGCTCGTCGTGAGAATTTGATCAGCTATGGGTCTTTAGTTCTTTATGTATCTACAGGTTACGTACGAACCATGGGGAGTCAACAATTTGTCTGAGTATTTTGTTCTGAAAGACCTGTAGTTTAACTGAATTGAGAGGTTTTCGTCCGTTTTATAAGATTTTTAAATCGCGAGCGAGAACTTTCAGGAATTTTCTCGAAATCAAAAAGAGATATTTATTTATTTAAATGTTAAATGCACGCGCTCTTGTATTTTTAATTTTCCGGCTTAGCTTTCCTTTAATATTCATCACGCGCTACATTGCGTGAGGAATAAAACAATTTTATTTATAATTCTACTAACATTAACTAATTAAATACCAAATTCGTAACACTGCCCCCCTTCCCAAGGACTGCACGTCCCGGGCAGTACAATCCCTGGACTGGAAGCCAAACTTATAACTGATGCATAAATAACAAAGAACATAAACAATAACATGAACAACTAAAAAATGCAATACGATTAAATACTTAAAACAATCAAAACTAAATACAAGGCTAAATACAAATCAAATAAGTGCATATTACACATTTAGAAACAAAAAGGACCATAGTCTTACACTATTTACAATTATTTACACTACATACTATGGCCATAGTAATGAGCTAACCTAACCTGTCGTAAAGAACGACTTTAGGTTCAGAGTTCGAAGACTTACGGATCCGAACTACGACGTCATTCAGTCTGTTTAGGACTGTGTGCGAACCATCCCAAGGTGACTGTAATTTAAGCCTGACTCCTTTTCGTCGAATCAGGTTCCACAACCACACCTCGTCTCCTTCGTTGAATATGTGTCCAGTAGACCTCGTGTCGTATCTCGTCTTCACTTTCTCCGTCGCCAAGTTGACTCGCTTTCGTGCAGAACGGTGCATCACTTCAAACCGGGACTGGACATCTTGGATGTGTTCCTCAGGCGATGAAGGCGCATCCGTAGAGTGACCAAACAAGTGGTCACAAGGCAGACGAAAGTCTCGACCGAAGAGCATCCGGGATGGAGAATAGCTAGTAGTCTTGCGTTTCTTTTCGTCCCTAGCAGGATTTCGGCAGCTTCTCGAACTGGTTCTTTCGGACAAAGCGTCGGCATTTCTAGGTGAGGATCCCTTTTGAGGATGGGATAGTCATGTCTTCAGATCCTGAAAGCAGTATATTGTTTTTGAAGTCTAAGGAAAAATTGTATTTCCTTAAAATGTCCAGTCAGAGTATGCGTGGATCTGTAATATCCACCACATATGCCGTGTGATTGTAGGCGGCACTTCAAACGCGATATTCAGGTTTAACTTCCCAGCTATGTCGATCTTGTCACCAGACGCAGTCTGAAGGGTAACACAGGATGGCTTCCAAATAAGTTTATCTTGAAACTGTTCGGCTAAATCTTTCCTAATGATGGTAACATTAGTTCCTGTGTCAATGATCATATTGCAAGGAACTCCATCGATATGCCCATTGATGGACAGTCCGTTACTGTC